ATGCTTGCCCACAGTTAAGAAATAGACAACTTCTGTATGTTGTTAAAGGAAATAGCTTTAGTTAACAAAGGCTTGAAGAGAAGAATTAAACATCTATAAAGAATTCACACTATTTTTTTTAAATTGGAAACAGCTTGAAAATATAAATGCTACAATTAGTCAATAAATACTTTAAGCAATTTAGTCTACTCTTATATGAAATAATAAATAAATTTATGCTAACTGTGTGCTGGTTCAGTAAATTGTAATATTTAATTATTCAATAAATATATATTTTAACAGAATATAATATCTATGCTTGCACACATACATTCATCAGCTATACTGTACAATAGAGAAGTAGTATCGAACTAGTATTGTGAGATGCAGATAGCACTGCTAGAGATAAGAAGTATTGACCTAGTTTTGCATAGGGCAGTGTATACACATTGCTCAGTAATAAAACCTATTAAATTATATACAGAATAATTTTTCATTATGGAAAAACTAGATATGGCCATAATACTTGATTACGACTTCTTACAAAATTCTGGAGTCATTATTAATTTTGCAACAAAACACGTTTCCCTTCCATTCTTTATCAGAAGAGGGGAACAAGTTAAGAAGTTTATGCAACAATCCCAAAGTCAACAAACAAAAAATGGAAAACAACCAAATATGGAGAAAATAACTGTTGAAATGATGGGAAAACATTTTCAAAATTATCAAAACTAAACTGAAAATGTTGACAGTAAAACCTATTCAGATAATGATTTGGGAATTACTATAAATTCATCTGAAGAGGATACCTAAACTACATCAGAGAATTAGATAAAAAAAATGGAAATGGAAACTCAATGAAAAGAGTTGGTGCATAAGAAAACTATCGAAGTTAAAAGAGAGCAAGAGAAAACCACAGTAACTCCTGAGATAGAAGAAACCAATAAATATTTAAATATCTCCAAAAATAACCTTGATAAGAGTAGAAAAGATTCCATAAAAATGATCAAGAATTATGAAGATATTCTTGCTACAAACCAAAATGATATTGGTGGTTCACACAGAAAACATCCATAACAGAAAATGTCCACAAAATTAAAGTACTCAATAAATACTCAATGAATGAAATACTGGTGTTTTGTTGATGCGGTCTTTCTGAACAGTAGCCAAGGAACATGCTACAGCCTAAGGAGTAGCAAATTGTAATATTATTTAGGTCCTTTTACAGATTGAGAACATTGTGTGTGAAATGTGTGCTATCCTCTATGGGTAAACCACAGAGGAGGAAGGGGGCCGACCCCAATCCAGTGCTAGCCCTTTATTTTAGAAATATAACACAAAATGTTTCATAATGTGTAATATGATTTTTATTTCAATAGCTCACTGATAAAATCTTTTTCTTTGCTGTAGGATTTTTCTTATGAGAAAACCAATATTTTCCATATCAGTCATTTTTTTTTTAAATGATCCTTTTACAAATGTATTTTTCATGATAAAATACTGATTGCTTGAAATCTGCAATATATAATTTTTTTAAAAAATTAAAAAATCAAAGGTTTCAAACCTCAAATTTAATGTTTTCAATATCTAAATGTTCTTTAAATGATATATCATAATCATGAAGGAATTTTACAATTTCAAAAATTTTCTTTATACATGTTATATATTTGAAACTTGCATAAAACTTGAGATCTATTTTTAGATGAAGATATTTATCATACCTTTCATTAAAAACAAAACAATTTCTTCTACTTCTATAAATAAATTCTGTAACTGTAATGTAAAATTTAAAAATATTGGCACTGATTTTAAAGGTAAATTTCTAGAATTAGGAAAATATAAAATTTCATTAGCTTTTAGAGCCTCTTGGATAATGCTTAAAAAAATTTCTATATTTGTTTTAATCTCAAGTTATAAATATATAGTATTTTCGGGATTGGGAGAAAACGGCCTTGGGAGAAAATGGCCTACTTTTGTGAGATAACAGCCCATAAATATATTAACCTGTGATTATTACAAACATTACATATCTTCTACTTTTACCAGTTTTGTCTGATATTGCATAATATGAGCAGCCATGACACAGGAAGTTATTAGTATTTCCTGTTTATTTAATTAAGGAGGATAATAGAAAAATTGAAAGATTATCTTTGTATCATTTTATTGAAGAGAGAACTTTTACAGGTAACTTTTCTTTATGTGAATCATTAATAATTTGGTATTAAAGGTCATTAAAGTTTTTCTTTCTTTATCAAAATTTCAAAAATATTTCTTTCCATAACTTTTACTTCAACTTTCTAATATTTAATACCTATTATTAGAAGATAACCAACATGCCATTGATTTGTTCAAACTGTGAAGGAAGATTTTTTGGAAGACAAAAAAGATTAAAATGTACAAATTGTAAAAATTTTCTCCATCAGAAATGTTTAAAAGGTAAACTTTCATTTATTCATGTTACATTT